AGCATTTCTGGCCGCCGTACTCAAAGGCAGAGCGCAGGGTCCCGTTCACCACGCTGGACACATCGGCTGAGCTGTGCACCAGGTGGAAGTTCTTCCCACCACACTCTGGTTTGGGAGGAAAAGGAGCAAGTGAGAAGTTGCCCTGCTGGAAAGCTCGAGCTATGTCCAGACCCCAGTGGGTGATGTCCCAGGGAGGCCAGCCCAGGTGCTCCAGCCCTCAGCACCCCCTGCTCGGGCTCCCCATGACGGTGAGACACAGCCATTACCTCCAGCCAAGCGGGGGAAGTTGCGGTAGCAATCCAGGTTTTCAGCCACTTGCTTCCAGAGGCGCTTGAACGTCCTGGGAGAGAAAGGAGGAGGTGCTTAGCATGAGAGGGGAACTTGGAAAAGTTCCTGACCCTGCTGAAGACAACCCCAGCAAACCGCCAGGTCCATCCTCAAAAGAAGGGATGCTCAGAAGAAGAGGAGAGGCTAGGTCAGAATGAGTCCCTAGATACCAAAGCTCTGGGCACTACACAAAAACCCTAGCACATTACAAATAAGCGCCACAGGGAAGACCAGACAGCATCCAGCAGAAGTTTCTGTCCTCCTCCTTTTGGCCCTTCTTTTTTGGTTCTCACTGTGACAAACCCCTTGGCTGCAAAACAATAAAAATGCTAATAAACCTCCAGCAGGAGGCACGGCCACTAATACTAATTTATGAGCTTCCCCACCTTTACAGCACAATGCTCATCAGACCATGGCACTTGCAGGGCCCTGGGGCTTAATAGCCTCTAGGGGCAAGTCGCTAACCCAGCAGAGGGTTTGCAAATCAGCCAGGGACGAAGGCAGCATGTGCTCATAGTGCTGCACAGCTGGGTCTGGGTGCGGGCACGCTGGCAGGAGGAGGGAAGGATAAACCCCGCTGCCCTCCGGCATCACTCTGCCAAGTCACAGCATCCCTAGGAGACAGGTCGGTGTCTCCCTTGTTTAACTTTCAAGTTTATTCTCTGTGGCTTGGTTTTAGCCACAGGAAGTCCTTGATATTAAATATGCTCCCTGGGCTGATTAGATACAGGTTTTTTTTCACCCAACAAGGTGTAAGGACAGGCAGCTGCTCTGCACGATGGACCAGTGGGCAAGTATCAATCATGAGCTGGGCAGCTCCTTGTGCTTCCCCTCCCCAGCTTACGGCACGCTGCCGGTGAAGTTGAGCCCGCAAAAGTGCTGGTTGCTGGTGACGGCGTCGCCGAACACGGGCCCATCTGCCGGCACGAACTGAATGACATTGGGAGGGAGCCCGGCTTCCAGCAGGATCCTGTAGACAGCGTAGCTGGAAAGCAGGGCAGTGTCACTGGGCTTCCACAGCACCACGTTTCCCTGGGGAACAGGGGACAGTCCAGTGTGAGAAACACGCAACTGCAGGGCTTAAATGCAGTCAGGGAGAGCCCAGTATCAGAGTCTGCAGCACCTCCAGGAGGGTTTGTGTGATGGTGCAGAGGTTCTGCTCTGCAGGGTGGCTCATAGCTCCCTTGCACCGCAAGCAATTGAGACAGATTGTGATTGCCAGCCCAGCTAGAAGCACCAAAATCACCCCCCTTCACATCAAAAGCTGCCACGAGATCACGATGCTGCCCTCTTGTGCCCTCCCGTGCTGGGAATGGGACTTATGGCCCTGCAGCTGCCACCCCTGAGCTCATGCGCAACACAGTGAGTGCCCATGTGAGTGAAACACCAGCCCGTGCCTGGATTAATCGTGCCCAAACCAATGGCACAATCAGCAGGAAAACACGGTGCAAACGCCCCGCTGTGGCTCCCCACCCCTTTGGCTCCACTGCCACTGCCTTCGTCTGGGCTTGGTGACCTCCCCTGCGTCACCGTCACCACACGTGTGGCCAGGATGAGAGTGCAGCCAGGGGGTCTAATTAGCAGTCACTTATTAAGAACTCCCTCCTGCAGAACCCCAACCTCTCTGTCTAAATCCAGGCAAGGAAGTGAAGCCCAAAATGAAAGCCTCAAGCACAGACACCTCCAAGAGCGGGTTTGGGAGGGTTTTTCCTTTTCCAACACTTCCCTCGTCACAGCAGTTTGGTGGACAGGTCTGAACAGCAGCCAGGGGAATGCCTGTCTGTAATTAGTCACCTGAGCCAAACTGCACACGAGCTGGTTGAATTCCAGGGAGGGTTCCAGAAGCAGAACCCCGGGTGTGCCTGATGTGGTTGGGCTGCGTTTGTAGGTAGTCCAGTTTTGGGGACGCCTTAGGAGAATGCCCCCAGAGGGCTCCTCCGTCCCCATGGATAACAGAAGCACAAATCACTCCTGCAAGCTGGAGTCGGGACAAAGCAGCAGGAGGCTGCGCAATGCCAGCAGCTCCTCTGGTGCACGCCACCGGGCATGGAACAGCACCAGAGAGGCTGGATTTGGAGAGAGACGCAACCCTGTCGGTGACTGCTCACCATCAATGCTGGAGCCCCCGCCAGGTTTCCACCGATCGCTGTGAAGTTGAACGGGAGAGATGGCTGCCACAAAACCCTGCGGTGGAGAGAAAAAAGGGACCGGCTGCAGGCGCCCGCGCTTGCCATGGGCGAGCCAGCACAAGCAGCCCCAGCTCCTCACCTCCAGCCCCCGGTACACCATGCTGTTGGTGCTGATGTCCACGCTGATGGGCTGGCTGCTCTCCAGCTCCAAGGCGTACTTGGCGTTGAAGCGGAAGAAGTCGATCAGCTCTGCCTGCCGCATCGATTTCTGCCTGGATGACGGTTTTGCCCTGCCAGGAGAGGACAGCAATGAATAAAAACACGGCAGAGGCAGGACAGAGGAGGAGGAGAAAATGCAACATGGTCCTGGCACATCCTGACGTGGTTTGGGGGTTTGTGCTCTTCAGAAAGAGCTGGGCCTCTCTGCAAGCCCCCATCCTGCCCTGTTGCGACCAGCTCCTCCCGAATTCCCTCCTGTTCGCCCCCTGCACCCTACTCACCTGCCCCACCATGGTCTTGGCCAGCACCTCGGCTCGCCGTGGGCCACTCAGCATGTCAGCTGCCTTGAGAAAGATCTGGGCTCGGTCCTGGACAGGTTTCAGGTCCCACTCCTTCCTGGCTGCCAAGGCAGCATTGATGGCTTTGTTAATGAGATCCTGTGTGAAGGGGAAAAGGCAGCCGTGAGGAAGCCATCCCCCAAGAAACCCAAAGGGGACAGTGAGGGGACGTCCAGCCCGGACACATGCTGTGGCAGCCACCTTCCCACCAGCACCGGAGCCCCTCAGACCACCTTGTTCCAGGGCCCCAGGGGCTTGGAAAGCCAAAACCCACCGCTGCCTCTTTTGGAAAAGCCATGTGCTTTGTGACTCCAAAAAGCCACTTCTGCTTGTGAAACCTGCAGTCGGAGCTGCATCAGCGATGCTGGCAGCTGGCTGGGGCCCTGTGGTCACTGCACTGTCCCCAAAATGTCCCCCACGAAGAAGACCGAAGAGAAGAGGAACAGGAACGCTCACCTTGTCGGCGTAGCAGAACTTGGCCACCTTGTGCGCATGATTGAACGGCTGAAAAAGAGATGGGAAACCCTGGCACTTCCCCATCCGACCAGCGCATCCCTTGCTTCGTTCTCCTTTACTGAAGTCCCCCCAGAGCCCCAAAACTCACCGAGAGCTGGTACCGCACCGCTCCGGTCCACACCTCCTCCCCACCGACCACGCAGGGGATGTTTTCAGTCCTGCCCTTCAGGTCAGCAAGCGCCTGGGCGAGAGCAGAGCGAGGTGCTGGGGCTGCACAGGGCAGGCGGGGACCCCAAAGGGCTCCGTGCTGAGCCAGGAGCAGGGAAGGACGGGGAAAAGGTGAAGGGCACTGCCCTGAGCCTCCCATACCTGCTGCAGCGCCGCTCGCTCGGGGCTACCAGGTTTGAACTCGAGGATGGGCTCGTTGGCCACCGTGGTGGCCGCACGGTGAAGGCTCCTGAGCCTGGTGGGGGGGGAACAGGCTGAAATAACGCCCCCGGCCCCATGCTGCCAGCCCGGGGGGCTTCGGTGCCTCGGCTGGGTGCGTCCCAGCTGGGTAAATCCACGGAAAAGGGGGGGGTGTGGGGTGGGGAAAGGGGTTTTGGTGTGACAGGAAAAGGGGTGCGATGGTGTGGGAAATGGGGAGTGGGAGCCATGACCATGGCGTGGGGAAAGGGGTTTGTATGGGGTGGGACATGGGGTTCCTATGGGGTGGACAAAGGGGTTTGTATGGGGTGGGAGAAAGGGTTTTGTTCCTATGGGGTGGGAACCGGGGCTCGTATGGGGTGGGCAAAGCCGTTCCTATGGGATGGGAACAAGGGGTCCCGATAGGACAGGGGTTCCCGTGGGGTGGGAACAGGGGGGTCGCAGCCCTGGAGGACGACGACTCCGCGCTTCCCACAGGCAGCGGAGCGAGGCCGGGGGGCAAAGGTTGGGCCCTGGGGGGGCCGCGAGGATCCGGGGGCAGCGCCCGGCCCTGGGGGGTGTGGGGGGGGAACGGGACCGGGACGGGACCCGCGGGGCTCCCACCCGTGACCGCCCCCACGGAGCATTACCGAGGGGCTGGGGGGGGATTGTGAGGCAAAAAGTGGGGGGGTAAAAGGGTCAGAGCGGGGTTCGGGTGCTCCCTGGGGAAGGTGGGGGGGGGGAAGGGAAAGGGGAGCAGAGGGGGTCGCGCGTGGGGACTCACCCACGGCCCCGCAGCGCCCGCCACATCCCGGCCCCGCCGCGCCGCTCCCCACGGCCGTGCCCCAGCCGCCACGGGAGGGAGAAGGAAGAGGGTGTGGGGGGGGCATAAAACAAAGATAAAGCACAGCGAGGAGACGGGGAGCCCGCAGCGCGCCCACGGCCACGCGTGGGGCTTTGGGGTCCCCCTTCACGGTCGCTACTCGCCCCCTCAGTGGGGTTGGAGGGGGGGGGTCCCTACATGCAGCACCTGCCCCCCCCCCCCCGGCCTTGGCACTGCGGTGGTAGAGCCCGGCACGTGGGAGGGGGGCGGTGCTGGGCGGGGCGGAAAATGGGTTATAAATAATTAAAAAATAATTAATTATTAAAGAGGAAAAAAAAGGGGGTGGGGAGGGGTTGTCACAGGCTGGGGCCGCGGTGGGGCCCGGCTGCTGCTGAATGCTGTGTGGACAGAGGGTGGCTGAAGCATCCCCTCTTATCACAGCAAAATATCCCCTTATTAGCAAAAACTTGCAAAAAAGGGGATTTTAACACAAAAGGGAGAGGCTGGGGGGGGGGGGGGAGGGCGGCTGAGGCAGCAGGAGGCCGCGTCCACACGAGGTGCTCCTGTTCCCACCTGAGAGGCATCGCTGTGGGTGTCTGGATTTAGCACTGGGGAAGCTGGGGACTGGTGCAAGGAGGCCCAGAATTACCTCATTTCATGATTTTGGGGAGTTTCAAAACAAAAACAAAAACAAAAAAACACAAAGGTTGCTCCCACCGCCCACCAACCCCCTAAAAACTCCACAAGCCCCTCACGTGCCAGCCCCGTGCTTCGCAGCCCAAGAAGTAGCCCACACAGCTGTGACCAGAAGGTTGGTATTTATTTTACGTGGTTTTGTTTTCCCCCCCCCCCCGTAACCAGAGCAGACCGTCACCCATTTCCATCCACCAGCTTCCCCCAGCCCCTGGCCGCGGAGCAGCACCTTGGAGCCGTGCCTGGAAGAGCAGGGAGCTGAGGCAGCGAGGCCCGAAGGATGGATGAACCATGCCGGGGTTGCTCCGGAGCGGCCGCAGAGCCAAGGACAGATGGACGGACGCAGGACAGGAGGGCAGAGCAGCGTACGGGGAGCTAGAGAGCAGGCCTCGAACGGTGGGAGCGGCTTTTGGCACGAGAAAGGAAGGTGGAGGTCATCCACTGCGATTCGGAGGAGCTGAGCTCTCGCTGTGGGCGTTTCTTGGTGCCCCTTCTCACAGGGAGTTGGGTGCTGGCGCTTTGATGGTCCAAAATCCAGCACCACGAGCATTCAGTCTGCTTTTAGACACCAAGGACAGACTTGTAAATGGGGTGCAAATGGCCTGGCACCGCAGCTCAGGGCCCACGTGCCCCCCGCAGCAGGCTCAGGAGCTGGTGTATCCTTCGTCCTTACCTCGCCACAGATTGACTAGCATCACAGTTCAGTCTTTTTCTTTAAAAGAAGCTAATATACAGAATATAAAGCACAATATTTACAACTGTATGGTAAACAGTTTCATTTCCACACTGATCAGTAGTCTGTTTTAATGTGTATAAAAGAAATTCTTACATGACCTAAGAGGAACTGACACAAAGTGACACAGCATGGGAAAAGATTCATCAATACCCTCCACTTAAACACATTAAATAATAAATAATCTTTTTTGGCAGAACCTAGCTACATACACTTTAGCCACAGGTAAGGTGTTTTAAGAACCAGATTGTGTGTTCCTTTCAGTGATACCATGTTACACAGGAAGTGTCTAGTTACCGAGCTTTTTTTTCATCATCTTCAACCCCTTCTTGATTAAAATAAATCTTTAGGATTTCCAATGAAACCTGTGTAGGGAGCATCAGTTTGAGCAGCAGACAAAACCCGCACCTTGGGTTAGTGGCACAGTGGGACTGCAGTGTTCTGCCATCAAAGTGACACAGACTACCAGGTTTAAAGCTCTCAAAACATCCCAGAGTTGTGTGTGTTTTTTTTTTTAACATTATTTTTTTTTTCCTCAAAAGACAGACCCAACCATACATACAAGCACCACCTTGCCTACAGAAGTGCTTCAGTGTTGGAGTGCCTCAAATTAGGTAGGAGGGAATCGTGACTTCTAGAAACATCAAGTACCCATTTCTTACAATTCATTGCTTCTTCAAAAGAGAAGCTTTGAACAGCTCCCACAGATGCGGAAGGGCCTTAAGACACTGAACCACACAAAAAAACAGACAGAAAACAGTCAAGTGTTTCTTCACTACTCTGCCAAAGACTCATGTTCAAGCCTCCAGCATTCCTCTCTCCAGAAATGGGTCGGTGAAGGACTGAATTAAGAATATGGCAGGTAGTATTTCTAGCTCACCTCTAAAACCAGCATCACTAACACCAGCATACTGTGTGTTGCCTTGATTGGCGGCTTCTTTTCTTACTTAAAACTCAAACTGATAGAAGTTACATTCTAATAAAAGCTTAAAATCAAGCATTTGTGTGACTTAACACTGAAGGCAAACATTGCTAAAACCTGCGTGTTCCCCTGCAACCCAAGTCCTGGACCAGTGCAAAAGAATCAAAACCCCAAAGTCCTGAAGCAAAATGAGGAAAATCCTCATGAGGGTATTATTACACCATGGAAGCACAGCATGGAAAAGTCTGGTCAACCAGCTAAACCGTGATTTAACATTCACCACAGCATTATAATTGCTTAATTTTGCTGTAATAAATCTCACTTTAAACATTCAGCTCTAAAAAGAAGCACTCGCGAACATGAAACAGGGACTTCCCAGCATGGCAATTCTCTTCCTCGCACACTCCAGAACAAGCATCTTTCCAAGTTTTTCCAGAGCCAAGGGAAACACAAGCAAATAGCTGTTTCACAGAGCCCGCAGCGTTGTGGTAAGGCTGTGGGCACCCACTGGTTGCCACGGCTTTTCCTCAGCCAGTCCTGGACCAGTAACTGAACTTGTATTTTTGCTGGCAGGAATGGTTATGCAAAAGCATCTCGTATTGGACAGAAACAGCTTTAGATCTAAAGCCAGGCACTAGTCAGATCTATTACTCTGTTTCATCAAGTTAATTCCAATTTATACTGGTGTAGACCAATACAATTTGTCTCCTTACCAGGTAGAGCAAAGCCTACTTTGAGGCAGATTTTAAGAACAAATGTCCTGGAAGCATCCCTGGTAGTGAGGGGAATGAATGGAGATCCTGACCCGCTGGGGAAGGCCTCAATCTCCAAAAGGGGGAAAAAACACAAACAGGAGCACAGCAATAATTCTGCAGTTAGAGAAAAGCTGTTGGCCTGTTCCCCACTGCCACCACCCCTTGCTCCAAGGAAGCAACAGGTGAGTGCACCACAGCCGTACCCATTACATCGTTTCTGCACAGTTACCTGGAACAGTTTGAGATTTTGGGAGTCCCATCAAAGCCAAAGATACCTTACAAGGGAATAATTGCATTTACTAACAGAATTCTGTTTGCACTTTAAAAACCTCTAATAAAAATAGAATATATACTGTGTTTCTTATAAATAGATTACACATTTAGTTTAGTTGGATTTCATTACACCCCACCTACTTTTTTTTTTAAATACTTTTGTTTTTGTGTTGTCTGAACTAATATGATAATTACTACATTTTTGAAAAAAGTGTTTGTACCACATTATTCTTTGGACATTTTTGAACAACATGCATCCACAAAAGCAACCGCCATTGTTTACTGAAAACATTTTTTGTACAAACCCATTTTAGGAATTTGATCTATTATTACACTGCTAACAAGCAAAAAAATTTGCTTCCTTGAAATCCCCTTTTAAAAAATGAGAAACAATGAGGAGGATTTTTTGATTATAAGTCTAAAAAAGTGTCAATATGACACCGCATTAAGAATAGAAAACAAAAATAAAGTATTTACAGCTTTACAAAGGAAAAAAAGAGGTCATCAAATTCATTTCCAGCATTTTCACAATTTTTTTCTGGCAAGCTTTTGATCTGGTTGCTACAGAGTGGTTAAACGCAAACAGAACAGGACCACTGTCAGCTAAATCAGCAGCATCGCTTGAAACTAAACCAACCAAGACCTCCTAGGGAAACTATCAAAGACCAACCCTAGTAACTCCCAAAAGGTTGATCCACCAAGTCCCATACAGCCTAGATGAAAATAAAACCCCAACCCCAAGTATGAAAACACCTTTTCTTTTTTTAAAAAATGGATTACATATGGTTATAAGAAAGACACCAAGAACCATGGTAATTTACCATCATACACATACATCACCATCATACACGTTTCTATACTGTCTACTATAGACCCACATCCCTTACACTTACCAACAAATGCAACCCTATTATAGGTGCTCCTCATAATTATGGCTATGAGATAAACTGTAGGTTACAGAAATTTAGCTGTTGAAACAAGCTATCTGCTTCCTCTGGCTCCCCCACTGTCAAACTGAGGATATCCCTTCCCACCTCAACATGCCAGCTACTAGCTTCATTTCAAGAACACTCAGCCTTTTTCCTACTAGGTCACTGAGTTTAAAAAAAAAAAAAAAGTTATAAAAAACAGCAGCTAAGCCGGACAGTCATTTAAATTGCTCAGTTTCTCTAGTACCAAAGAGCATTTCATAATTTGAGGACAGCCAAACGACAGCCTCCAACAAGGCTGATTCACTGTGCAAGTAGATTGCTTAACAATGCCTCCACCAAAGTCACTAAAGCATTACAGACATTCAGCTTTGGCAGATGGTTTCATGGTTTCTCAGCCTCGTGAGAAACTACATATTTAGCAGCTTCATACAGGCTTGGAAACCTTAAGAGTACTTTATTGAAAACATGCAGTCCCAGCCCCCTCACAAAAATATCACATCTGGCATTTCTTGCCCCCACCCTCCCACCCCAAAACTTGCAGCCCTAGCGAACATGACACTTACCACTTTGGCCACCTAAGAGATAATAGGAATGAGCACTTTGGAATAAGGTTTCTTTTTCAGAGAAAAATTATCTACAGGCTTTGAAAAAGCCCCTAACTAACACCACAAGAACCAAGAAGTTGCTAACTACTCTATGAATAACTGCACTGAGTATTTCAATCAGTAAGGGAATGACAAGAATAACCTTGGACAGACGCCACTGATGCTCAAATTATGAATCCAAATGGATCATCCCAGTAATTCTCCTCACTGAAAGACTGAGGGCCCATTTAATTCACATGGCCTAAAAGCACCATCACACGATAGCGGGAGACTGATCTAAACAGCAATGAAACTCCATGCAGAAACAAACAAAACCCAAACTGAAAAGACATTACTGTACCCGCAGTTACAGTGTGAGCAGAAACCCTCCAAGGTCCTGCCCCTCTGCATAGCTGTGCAAGATGGAGAGAGATTTTCTGCCCAGGAATGCGCCATTTGCTGAAACACTCGTGCTCTTTTTGGAAGAAAGCAGTACTGATCTATACTGGCTATTTGTTTACAATGCAGCCCTGCTGATTCAGATCAATAAATAAGAGAGGCTTGGAAACAACGCTCAGGAAGATAAAAGATTGGCCCCTCTAGCTTTACCTAACACTGAGAGGATGCTTAAATCTGATATTCCCCTGTCCAGTCCTAGCACTGCTCCTACGTAACAGTTTCTAAGTTTTCTGGCAGGTTAAAAAATACAATTGGTATTTACTCCTCAAGTCTTGCAACTGCTAGTTAACTACACAGTTACCTTTAGGCAGTATTAACTGCACTTGCAATCTTGCTCTAAAATACAAACAAAAAAAGTATTGGCTTAGGTTTATACCCTGTTTTTACCTGGCTGAGATGCTACAAATCCTATTAATAACCACGAACAGCTTGATGACACCAGAGAGTTTCCTCAAGTACCAATCAGACTTTTGACGCTGCCTTCTCCTGTTTAAAAATATAGACAGATTGATAAAGCCTAGGTCTCCTCACTTTCTCACAGAGAAAGCACATGGCTGTTCTTCCATAGTTCTAGGGCTGCAGTAGTTTGGGATTGATTTTACTACGCCCTAAAAAGGATTACAGTATTTTCTAATGTTCAGCTTTGCTGAAGAAAAGTGGTCTGGAACTCTCTCAATGTCATGTCTCAAGCCCAAATCTACAGCACAGCATGTCAGTTTATCCTGATGCTAGCCCACTCTAGCCATCATGAAAGCAGCATAAAATGGAGCTATCTCCCTGTCAGCAAAGAAAAATCTGCAAACACTATGGTTTAAAAAAACATCCTGAAAAAAAGAAAACACAAAACAACTCGGGAACTGAAGGGCTGATTCCCCTCTCAATCCAATCACTGGAAACAAAGGCATTGTAACAAGACAATGTACTCCTCAAAAGAAGCTCTACCGGTAACTTGTGCAAACGTGTTTTGAGCTTTCCTTTCCCCAAGAGATAACCATTGCCCAGCAGGGACCAAACATTCCATACAAATAAGGCGCGCTTTTGTTTTTTTTGCATAGTAGTTTATCAGTGATAGTCCCATCCCACCGAACCCTCCCTCATCCACCTGCTTTGCCACCAAGCTGAGACCTGCTTCTTCAGATTCTGGAGTCTGGAAGAAAGCTTGTATGAGTCTCAAAGTCTTCTTCACCCAGAAAGGTGGAATGAAGAAATTCCTTTCAATATTGTATGACTGCTTAATCCTAAAAGCTGCCTCTAAACCCGGTATTATTTTTAAATGTTTACAGATCAATTTGGAGGCATTCTTATTTTATGCCAGCCGTTGGTAATTATACCATAATTGTCTCAGGTTTACTACTCAGTTTGCCAGTGTTCCTTTTGCCAATCAGTGCAGCAGTTCAATAAAACCATAAGCTTATTGAAATATCAGAGCCTTTGCAGCACCATTCTCTGCTGCTACCAGATATATCTTTTAATATATATATATATATATATAATATAAAAACACCTGCTATTTATATTCCACTGGAGCTCAAAGTGGCTCAGCTTGGGGCAAAGGCACAATTAAAACACGTTTTCTTACAGGACTCTGCATTTGTGAATTGTGTAACGATAGAAATTGACAGCACCAATCCTTGGGTGGGATAGGGATGCGTGTAGGAATGAGTCATTAGAAGCCCTGTGCAGGGGCTTACAAGTCTATTTTTTTTTCTCCCCCCATCAGTGTGTGTTGTTTTTTTAATCTTTGCTTGCATCTTCCCTTTCACTGGAATGCTCCAACTACGTATCAGCTGACCATGGGCTCCACATCCGCCTCTCTGTCCAACTCGTCCTGAATTTCATCTGTGTTTCCTGAGTCGCTGCTGGCTACAGAGCTGGGAGATGGAGAATTTCTGTAGAAAATGCAGAGAAAGGTTTAGACAAAAAAGAAATACCACTGACAGACAAAAATGAGACCTTTAAAGGAAATAGTCACTGACACTCCCTAAAACATTTTAATAGTAATAAAGAGTATTCTTAACTTATCTGTTTTGCAGCAAATATCAATAGTAAGCTTGAACACACTGCATGCTGCCACCCCCCCAACACACCATCTCCTATACAAACATAAAGGCTGTTCTAGCTTTACAGACAGGGCAAACAGAAATTAAGTTCAATGAATATCCTACAGAAACCTTGATCATCTACAGTACATACACTCTTGAAAACTCAAAAATGTTTATTCTCTCTGTTTTTTTTTTTTTTTTAAACCAGGATGGTTTTAAATGTGGGTGAGCAAGATACACAAAAAAATCCCTCATAGTATATAAAAAATGGGTTCCACACACAGGATTTAAAAACATGCTCTTCCTACAAGTCTAGTCAAGACTTTTTTTGGTCTTTTTAAAGTTCTACATCTATGACATTAAGAACAACCATCCATCACAAACAGAGAAGAGATGACTCCATTTATACTGCCAGAACTACTGGTGACAACAGCTGTTGAATCCTTAAAACTGTTACTGAGCATAGAAAATTATATACTACTGCAGTGATCTATTGAAGACTGGCATTTGTCCCTGAACAAGACGAGATTATCTAAAGGACAAAGCTTTAGGACAAAATTATGCTTCTGCTTTTAAACACCTTGACAGGAAACAAGAGCAAAATAAATTCTTGAAGGACACCCCAGGCAGCGTGGTAATATTTTACTACCTGTCAGCTGAACCTTTGATAAGCCTACGACAGGTTTCCATTTGTACATCCAGGCCCCTTTTCATACTACACATTTCCATATATTCATGAAGGTGGCGGTTCATGTCGCTCTTGGCTGTGGCCAATTCCAGCTGTAAGAAAAGAAAGTGATCACTCAACTTTACTCACTGGTGGGGATAATAAAGCTGCCCAGAGCTAATCCAGAATGCCTGCACAGCATATCCTTAACATCAGAGTGTTGTGTGCTACAAGTGTATTAATCAGCTTATGAAGTATATTTTAATCAGAGGGCAACACTGTTTTTAAACAGCTCTTTTTTTTTGCTGCTTGGCATCATGTTTGTCAACATGCAGTAATTAGTGAAAACATATTCTAGACAAGGCAAAGACTGTGAGAAGCTACAGCTGTTGTGTCTGGCAACCTCTGAGGCCATTTCCTGTGAAACATTTCCCAGTGTGATGGTGTGGATGCAAGACAAAAAGGGGAAAAAACAGCACATTTATTCTCTTTGTTTCAAAGTTTCCTCTACTATCAGTTAGATTTATTCTTGGTTAACAGTAGTGCTGTACAGAAAACAGTATTTCAAAAAAAATCCTAGCATGTCCCTAAGGAAAATAGCTTTGCCGTCTTGTTATAGATACACATTCCACCTTTCCCATTTGTGCACGTGTTTTATTCACTAGTAATTATTTATTTTGTCATGAATCACTTCCTTACCTCTATCTGCCCTATTGTTTCTTGGTATTCCTTGTCTCTTGTTTTAAAGAAAGACTCTGTTTCATGGATCAGGTTTCCCAGGTTTTCTTCCTGCAGAGCAAATTGAGACACAAAGAATTGTCAAGAAACTAACATGGAGCATACAGATTTTTCTCATTTAGCCTCACTCAGAAATCCAAGTTCTTGTGCTCTTTCATGCAAAGGTGTGTTTTTTAATACATGGTTATGCAGACAAGGAATACACTGCTTCTTAAAACTGGCATATGAGGGAAGATATTTTCTCTGTTCAAGGAACCTACAGATCAAGACTCCAGCAGTTAAATGAATACCTGATACATGCCAAAGAACCAAAAAGCTGCAATTACTGAACCTTTCAGTCTGATCATGCTTAAATTAGATTGTAATTGCTGCTCTCCAGGCATGCAACTTGATTTTTTTTTCTTTGTATTGACCATCGACTACTTACAGCATTGTACTGGAATTCTTATTTTCTGATTACATACTACTACTCTCCAGACCTTTCCATTTCCATCATCTCACACATATACTCTACATGCCTATCAAAATTCTTTACTTAAATGCTAGATAAATTAAGCTCACTCCAGCACACTAACAAGGAAAATATTGCACTTAAGAACATGTTGCATCCTAAAGGAAGCATCCTGTCAGACAACAACTCCCTTGTCATCATTACTTTGGATTCACAGTATAGTCCAGGCTACAAAACATACAGCATAATTTCATGCTGCCACAAAGACTAAAAGACTGTTTTCCAGTTTAACAATGTCACTGTTCTCTTTCAGGTTATTACCTACCTCCCTTTTCAAAAAAAAAAAAAAAAAAAAAAGCATCAATTTATCACAAATGCACTGATGAGCATTTATTTTGTTACCAATCTTCGACCACAACTGCAGCAGCTTTATCAGGATCATACCTGGGATCAACATCAGGCTAACCAGCCTATAGTTACACGAATCATTCCACTTATCCTTTTATATGCAGAACCGCTTCAAGGAGAAAGGTCATAAAAGAAGGTGGCTACAGCACCACGTAAGAACTTGAAAGGAATAAAGCCAGTGGAAGGAAGATTCAGGCATGTAAAGGACTATGTTAAAGACCAGGCACAGACGGAGCCGTCTTTATTCTGAATCTCCATCTACAAGACAAATCTACCCTTTCCTTGTATAATTTTCATTTAGAAGGATTTAAGCTTCTTAAAACCTTTAGAGTTTTTGCATGGAAGGTCTGCGTTCGGCAATATTCCTCTGATAGCTGTGCTTAAACATGCACACACGGGTATATGCAAATAAATCTGTCACTAATTCCAGCACATGGCTCCACATTATCATTCTGCCACTCTCCCTGCTCAAAAGATGACATACAGCTAAGTATGCTGCTTTCTGCAGTCCTAGCACTTTTAAATAATCTTCGCAGTTTCAGGGTATGCCAGATGATACACAAATGGGAAGATGTAAATTAACACACCCCTGGCAGTCAACACAAGACAATATTCAGGAGACTGCTGCTTCAGCATCTTTATAGTCTAGCAATGATGGGAGAAGGTAGGATTATTGCCTACCTACCGCTGTCATGCTGCTCAGTAATGCAATAATAGCATCACATTTAAGACTGCCTGCACAAAGCCAGACCTTGCCATTTCAATCTCTCTTTAGGCCTGCTTAAAAAGGCTCAGGAGTCACTGAATGAGGCAGCATGCAGCCATTACCTTACTTTGTGTGGGATCTTAAGGATTAAAAGCAAGCTGTTTATTATCCACCAGCATCAGGAGATTCCTATTGACTGGAAAGATGGAAGCACAAGATTCAGAAGATACCTAGGGCCTTACGCAGTCCCACAGCCACAGCTTCTTTGTTTGCGACAGGCTGTACGTACTTTATTATCACACACAGACCACACTAAGTTTATTTTTCTCCCCACAGGAAAGGAGGTGCAATACCGTGCACACCATGTGTGACATTTTGACAGTTAAAGTGTGAATGATCATCTACGGAGAAAGCAAGATGCTGCATGGAAGATATAGGGCTTTAGATAACCCACTGGTCAGGGTGACAGATTGCCTGATGATCCTGCAACAGCTAGGTGCCTTGGATCTTTTGATGCCTGCCATTTCTAAATACTCAGTTTAAAGAAGCAGAAGACATTAAGTTTGGTAAAATAAACTCATTGCACAGACTGAAAAGCAACCAGAGAGAAAGCACTAAGAGGATTTTAAAATTAAAGCAAGTTTTCACAGCACACTACATCACCAGTCAAAAAGGCTCAAATGGCTAAAAGAGCAGCTGAGGGATACAATTTTTTAACAGAACAATTTGAGAAGAAACTGAAATAAACTCACCTCTCCTTGGAGGTCAATTGAAGGATTGCAGTTTGTGAAGTCTTCCCAAAGAAGCAATGTTTCTTCATTCTCCTCCCACGTTAAACTATCACAGTCATCATCAAAATCAAATGTCTCACGACTGTTAAGGTAACAGAAAAAGCATTAGTGTAAACAGCTCCAGCTCTAACCCCTTCAGTCCTTAATTTAACGTTCTAGAAGAAAAAAGGGGTTACAAGAATTGAATAGAGAAGACAAAGCAGCTGAAAGTCATTAAATATTTTTAAAACAGGCTTTGCCACTGTCTGCAAGTCTCTTACTCCTGGGCTCCTTGCCACTCCAAAGCAGAATAAGAGAGATCCTTGTTAGCATTCCCCGTTCCTAGTTCTGTCCTGCAGATGGTGCTGCTCGTTAGTTTCCCTTGTTTGCAAAAACCACAAAAGCATTTTAATCTATTCTTTTTATCCATGGGAAAAGGAACCCGACCACAGTTTGGGGAATTACACAGGAAACAGCCACTAGAAGACTCCCTGCGGATTTTCTTGCTGAAGTTTAGCCAATGATTTTCACTGCAACACTTAAAAATATTAGTTTGAAAAATAACTAAGAAAAAGATGAACCCAAAAACGATGCACAAGTGAACGTAAGTACATATTATTGAATTGAACAACAAAAGATACCACTAAGGCCACTTAAGACTGAGAAAAACCAGTAGCAGAAGTGACCTTTAACACTGTTATTTGGTCAAGCTCCTTTAGTACAGTTAGTTGTGCAATAAAGGAAAAAGTTTCCAAAGGCACTCAAGTCCCTCTTGGTTTGAACAGCAGATGAGAGAAACACTAGTAGCTGCTTCTTGTCCTTGTTAAGGAGGTCTGACAAAAATCTGAAGTTGCTTGCAGCAGTAGTCTGCTAATTTCTGACTGATGCATTTTTGTTTCTTTAGTTATTTCCTTTTAAGCAGATAACATCTCAGTCAGGAAGCTGAGTCCAACATCATCTTTAGGAGGCTGAAGAGCTTGGCAAAAGAGATAAGTCTATTTGTCTAAACACAACTTGACAAAATAATAAAATAAAGATTTTGGACACACATGATTCTGCCTTTTGCAATTCAATTTCTTCAAATCAGATCATTTGCAAGAACTATCCTTGTCAGAGTGCAGACTCACAGCTCTGACTGCTGCTTTTCTCAGACACTTTATTCAACACTGACTACATTTTGACTTTTTACTGCTTGACACTTACATGTTAAGGTCACCATTACAGGTCCAAGTTGTATCTGATTTCTGTTCACAAGGCCAGCTATTTATAACTACCTTCTACATGACAAAAACCCAAAACCCAGAATTATTTAGAAGCGTGCCTTTTTCAATAAGCCACAAACATTGTTCCAAATCAACCCTCTCTGAACATACCAACAAAATTCCTGCAGCACTACATGCCAAATAGACCAAGAGAGAAGCACGTCACTAGAAGGACCAATAAAAACTAGGTATGACAGGACAGGTTTAAAAGCAAAACTGAAAATTAAAATATTACCAACCCAGTGACTAAACTTCAGTCTCTTGCTTTTCTAAAAGATCTATACTCTATGCGCTGTCACACTGAATTTTAACTGTGAAGAAGTTAAAAATATGTATTTATTACCCTGAGTAAGTGCTAGGCCATCTAAAACACAAGTCCTGACATGAAGAATTGCCTGCATTATTTGGGCAAAATATGTCCAGAACATGTGAAATAAGAGGAAAAAGGGACAAATGGCCTGAAACCAGAATTTGGCAACAGCTGACAACAGGATCTAGTGCTCCTTAGAGAATGTCTTATATACTCCTACACATTAAATACTGTCCTATGGTGTGCGGGAAAGCACTGGGAGCACTGGGAATTCTTTCCTCTCCCAGCACAGTCACTGGGAAAGTTGGCAGAAGAGACACACATTCAAATGCCAGAGAAATCAGACCTAAGGCACTGGCTGGGGTTCCCTTTGCCAAAAGAAAGCGGCAGAGACCCTCAGAACTCTGCCTAGCCTGTGGCCATCTTCATCATTTCTCAAACAGGAGAACAGTAGGGCATGCCGCCAACTAGCTTCCTTAATTGCTTTCTGTAATGGCAAGGTGCAGAGAGTCTCTTCTTGCCTGCCACAAGCTTCCTAACACTCCCATTCTGGGTAAAACTTTAGGCAAAATAAATTGAGATTCTTCCAATCCAGGAGAAGAGACCTTACAGCAAGGTTTACAACACTGACATTTCTTGGAATCTATAAACTGTCATCCACTGCTACAACTGATCTTCTGGACACATCCAGCACTGCCATTTGCCTGCAGCCGAATTGAAAAAATCATTAACTTCTCTGAGAAGTTTGAATTAGTTTTGAATTGAGCATACAGCTACAACACTGCCAAATTGCATCCAGCCTAAACCACAGCAAGATTCTTTCTAAAACTCTAAAAATGAATATTTAGCTAAACATACAGCTAACATAGACTCAAGTTTTGTACCTTTTTCTTTAAATGTGTCATCTTTTGCTTGTTACCAGCTAGCAAAGTATGAACATTAAGTTTTATTTTTATATTCCTTATAGCTCTCCCTACCTAAGGGAGGAATAAAATAAATCAGTTTGGTAATTTTATTTGAACTTCTAGTAAACTTTTGAGTACAAACAATGCTGACAGTTCAGGCTTAACTCACAGAATACTGGGTGGTAGAAAAAAGTTTCTGAAAGCCTACAGAATTAACTGGAGTTCTGGGATTGTCTGCATTTCAGATAGTTTTCGCCATATTCTCCACAATACTCACAGCTGATTAAACATACGCTTCATTTCATCCGTGATGTTCAAAGAGCAGCTGACCTCATCGTCAGAGAACCTGCCATTGTCTGCATCCTGTTCAGAGAGGTCATCATCAGAGGCAAGTTTTCGTTCTTTCTTCTTGGAAGCCACCTTAATTGAAGAGAAGAGTAGTAACTGAAGGCTCATTGGAGATGCTGCGCCATGAGTGGCGGAAATAAAAAAAGGAGAGGCATTACATTTGGGTGAATATAACTGCTCATCAGCTCCCAGGCAATTCAGGGATAGCATGTATTCGAGACAGGAATTGCATCTGTTAGTGAGTGGTGAACACAGAGCACAAGAAAGCAGTTCAAAAATGGCAAAGAGCAAAGCAAGCTGCAGGCTGCCAGCGCTCTACAGACATCTGTCTGTTCACTAACAACAGCCTACGACCTACCAGAGAACATGCAGAGGTTAGAATGATACAGGGTAAAAGCATAAGCTGGCAGGAGCGCCCAGGCAGCAGGCTTGAGAGCAATGACAGAACTCTCCCTCTCCTGCCACCACCACAGGCTGTTGCTCCCATGCTGAACAACCATGAAGAACAGACAAGAAACCTTTTTGGATAGTCTTTATTTCAGGGTCATTCCCACCCCATAAGCAGAGCCAGACCGCTAGTCTTCAGAGCAAGAAGAAGGATTAACTGAACCATGAAAATTCCTGGACGACCTCAAAGGAAATGAAATCTGCAGATGTGCAGAGAATTCAAGGGACAGCCCTGCACAGGGCACAGAGGATCATTTCTTCAGCTGAGGGTTGTTAATGTAAAAGATATTCACAGCAGTTTACAGATGGTACCAGAGTCACAAACGCACAGTCTGCTCCCAGCCTACTGTAGCTTTTCCTCTAATTGGTATGTGAGCCATCCCTTAGTGGTATTGTTCTCCTTGCCTGCTGATCATTTTAACCACTGCATGCTTGACCAAAAGTGCACTTTGCAGTTACCTTTGAGCAGAAAGACAGAGCAATTCTACTCAGAGACAAGAAGGAACCACTGGCACAAAGCAGTGGCTCAATGTGCTAGAAAAATTGTCTCCAGACAGGAGATTCAAATCTTTCTGGCTTTTTGAAAAAAGCCTCCAAACATTTAGGCAGCTTCACCACCGCCAAAATGCACAACCAGTGGAGACCACAAGTGTGTTTACAGTGTTTTGGTATGGCATTTAGCACACTATATGGCATCACTATACAGAGAAAAGCATTGGACTTATTCAGAGACTGAATGCAACACTCAGACCAAAGTGGAAGGAAGCTGGGTTAATCACATTGATAGTGCAGGTATGACACAAGACAAACCACATTGGGAGTTACACGTTTGCTCTACACGGAGCTGTAACTGCTTACTTCAGGAGAAAATTCAATGACTTTTCCTACTAGCACCATGGAGCTCAAGGAAAGAAACTAGAGTCTCTGGTCTCACAAAGCAATCATAACTCACCACCACAGAAGCGTTATTTCTGGCTGTGGAGCTTGAGCCAGAAATAAGAACATTCAGATGACAGTTCTACAAGCTTACCACCTCTCACTTATGAAGAGGAAGCCATTAATACAAACCTAGATCCTGAAATTTATTTTTTGTAAACTCTCTAAATTTTGTGCTTGTAATACTACAGCAGCTTCTGCAGAAGAGAGCTACACTCCAACACCAAGAAAGAAGAAAACATATCTATACAAAGAAATTTCAAAAAAAAAAGAAGAAAAAAAAGCAAGTGACCTGGACCACACTTCTCAACACTGCTCCCTCTTGACCCATTACTACTTGTCCTATCCTATGGAAAATTCACAGCCTAATCACCTGGAATATCTTGGAAACGTCTTCAGAGTTGCGCTGCTGCGCTACATCACACAGCTTGGCTGTGATATCGATTCGCCGACAGATGTCCATGTCCACCTTCATGGCCTTTTCTTGAATCTTTGTGTCCAGGTCTGTCATGGGCTGCAGGAAGGACAGCAGTGATTATCTTCTATTATTATACAGTTCAGGAAAGCAGAGATACCCCACAGTATCTCTCTAACCCCAGGGCATACCATTCTTAAACAATATCACGTCTTGTTCTCCAGGAAAGGCAGTACATGGACAGTCTAAACAGACTAAATAGCTAACAGGATTAATGTTCATATCCATTTCCAGTAAAATTTCAGCTCAGCAATTTGCCACAGAAAAACCTACACCCGCCCCAAAACAACTTCTATGCGTGGCAAAAGCGAACTTTTATATGGGTCAATAAAGCTTTAAAAACGAAGGAGATAAAAACCTGTTGAGCATGTGCTGAACAGAAAAATCTAAAACCTGATGAGTACTCCATACTCCCCCAGCTTCAGACAGAAAAACTATGCCTGCAAGGAGAAGTTGCTTTCCCTGCAAGGAGAAGTTGCTTTCAAAACACAATCCAGGCAACACAACAACTTCATACCTACCATGAAACATAAAATCAAGACTGGATCTAAAGAGATCCCCAAAAGCTTGTGACAGAGAAAATAATATCCAAATTGGCATTAACCTGACTTGCAGCCTGGAAAAAAATTCTACATGAAAAGCATTTTGTTTTGCTTCACTCTGGGCAGTAATTATAAACATAATTTAGAAGAGATACTCCTACTCAGACAGTAAGTACTCCTGCAGCCACATGAAGTAACATAATTCTGTGAAAAACATACATGTCCAGCCTAAACAGAACTCGTTCTGCTGGAAAGCACCACTTCGATAGCTAGACCAGAAAAACAGAAAAACTTTATGCAAAGTATTCCTAAATACCAAATCTCCTTTCCAACAAGAAGGTTTTGTTTTAAAATATTAGACAGGTTCTTCTCCAGCTTCTGTCAACCTCTTTTGAGCAACATTGGGAGGTTTTTATTTTCTAAACAGGTTGAGGAAAAGGAGGCTATAAACGACGATGCTCTCTAAATGCAGTATTATCAACTGAATAAGTAGCAGTGATTCTTATCAACAGGAAGGTAACGGGCACATGCCAATGTTTTGTGTTTCTCTACTCTAAATATTTACACGGTGGCATTCAAAAAAAAGCATTCTCGCTGCTTTCCTTAGGCTCTCTTCCATCTTGCAGCATGTACAAAGCCCACGGCATGCTTTCTCTCAAGTAGATGTCTGCATTCACCACCACCCTTCTGTACACACCGAACATTTCTCCCTCAGTGAAAAAGTTGCAAGCTATGCAGCCCTAACAAAATTCTCCTTTTCACACTGCCTCTAACCAAGCATACCTATTCTTGATTAAACATCAGAAGAAGAGACAGCTAATTGCCAAATTTCACATGAACAGATCTAGCAGCCCTGAGAGAATACGTTTGACATCGGGGAGCAGGTTCTGCAAGCTTATGTAAAGACCGGAGGAAGCAGTTCTAAACAAAATTACCGAATAAGTGTTCATAATAGGACATCTTCATTAGACAACTGGCATCAGCACACTACTTCAGTCTTACAGAGAAAGCCACCTTACTTCATGTTCACCTAGTTTATCTTTCCAGATATCTGCACGAGTACAGGATCAGTATGTGAATGCAAGACAAAATTATCCTAATGGTAATGTAATGGCCTAAAACATCCCCCAGCTTTGAAGGAGAGTCAGCATCAAACAAGGCATGAGGAAATTCCTGAGGTTTTGTTTTGTTTTTTTTTTAATCATTATTTTTATATTTTATCTCAGCTCTTAGGCTGACACAGCAATGGAAAAAATCCAAATACCTGAACCATACTGGGTTAACCTCTTCAGGGCTTTCACGAAGGGAGTAGGAACACACACATAGCATTCCTTTTTGACATTACTTCTCTGCACGTTTCAGAACCAAATCCCTCTCGTTAGAAGTAGGTCATGCTGCTGCATGGTGACTGAACCCTTTCCCCTAACCTGTGAGTTCTCTACCTTTTTTCCCATGGCTGCAGATTTGAATGCCAGCATTGCCAGCAGTGGAAAATGGGGGAGGGAGGGAAGAGTCCAGGTTATGGGCTAAGCAGCAAGTTAATGCATCTCTACACAGACCAGACAGGAAGCAGGGGGAAGGGTGATCTGTCTGATGCATTAGATCGTAAAGGCAGCCATAATACTAACTACAAAGCAGCACTCACTAAAACCATAACTTTTTTATGAATGAAGCCATTTGCATGACACACACATTTCACAAAGGCAGTGGGAGGTGGCCACTCTGCTCTCCAGTATACTTACATCACTCATCAGACCCTTAAAGACCACAAGTTCTGCTTTCAGTCTCTCAATCTTTTCATTCAACTCCTCCTGGAGAGCTTCCGCTTCCTGCGCCTCCTGCAAGAGAAAGCACACAAAGAACTAAGAGGCCACAGGGCAACACATGCTTCCTCACTTAACCTCAGGAGGACCGATAAGGCATGTCACCCCCCTCATCTCACTCGGTCAGAAAAGTCAGCACCTTCCTGCTTCAGCTTCCAAACATTAACACTGTTCTCTAGCATACAGCAAGGCACTCAGCTGCTGTGACTAGAAGAGGGGCTTTTAACCAAAAGACAACTTCTTTTCCAATGATTAATGGCATGGTGTGGAGAAATCCTACACCATTCGATAGCTACTACGTCAAACTTACCTCCCGCAAGGTTTCCACCATAGATTCCAGGCTCATTCTTCTTGTCAGTTCCTCTTCCCATCTGAAAGAGAAGATTTGCAGCAGATGGAGCGTTAACTATCAAGAAAAGTATATTTTCTCCAAATCACAAGTCTTCTGATCGCTGTAGGATGATGACAGTTACTTCAAACGTCAAGCAGATGGTTCCCCTCACTTGTACACCCTCAAACCAGGAACATAAGTCTATAAAAAAGTAAAAGTGAAATCAGCTCTCACTGGGATCAGTGCCCTTCCTGCTCTTCTGTGCAATCTCTGGTTGCAAATAAGGTGTGAAATTTTCAGTGCAATAGGAAGTTAAGTTACCCAAATCAACAGTCTCACTATTTACCCATTCAGTCCAATCAATTTCAACATTTGCATGATCTTCTGCATCAAAATCCTCAGGAACCTACGCACCTCTGCCATTTCCCAGCACTGCAAGTTATCTTTAAATGCAGGGTATATATACTCACTCACAGTACTGAGAGGGTACAGGGAAAGGAATTACACAGTTACAAACTGTACGACTAAACCTTACAGTACAAGCATCGTTACGTTTGAGCATATTATTGGATTAAGTACAGAAATACCTGGCAGTTCCCTTTTTCAAGCACAAAAACCTTTCAAAAGGTATTTATTGTCAAATACTGTGTTTTGCTAACTCAAACACAAAGTTCTTGAAAACGTGATTATATGCATTCATACATATGAATATGGTGTGAGCTCAGGGAAAAAAAAAAAAAAAAAGTAAAAAGGATGCCACTTGTTGAAATAAACGGTAGTGCCACAGGAGACCTGCCCAGTCTATTATAACAATATGAATTATACCCCTGGAAAAAGTTTGTCTGAAACATTCAACACACCAGACAACCAAGAAACAAAAATCCAAACAGTAACTTCACCAAGCAATTTAGCATCCTCCCAGGAAGGCCACCGTTCCTTTTTATAGTTGAGCAGAAGCATGATTTTGGCACAGTCAGTGAAGGGAAACCAGGGTCTGATGACCTAGTCTGCGAAGCCTTCAAAGCGTCCGTTCAGCAAGCCGTCCTGACGAGCAGGTCACACCGTCTGCTCAAACGTGTTACTCCTCGCATCCCTTCCTTGGCAAAAACCAGGAATCTGAAAGCCTACCTAGAAACTTGGGCTGACAACTGCCATCAAGACATTTGCTTTCAATAGTCCAGTAAATATTGGATACCACACAATTAAAAACACTCCTGTGAGCATAATGCCTAAGTACCATCATAATTATTTCTGTTGTCACTTCCAGTTTTTTGTTTTTTTTTATATACCTTAATTGAAAATGGCAAACCACGGGACCAAAAAATCTATTAAATCATTCTCGAAAATGCGAGGCTGCAAGGTTAAAGCTGCCACAACACATAATTTCAGCATATTTACAAATTCACAAAGAAATCTGGTGACAGCTAGATTGCAGGATATTCCCACTGAGGTAGCTGCATACCTAAACATCACACTACTCAATACATCTCTGCCTTGGAAGCTTAATCCCATCTGAAATGGAAGCCGGGGAGGACCGATTCAGCAGTACAGGCTGCAGGCAGCCGTGGCGGCGTTGCACTTTGCTGTCTTTAGGCACCAGCAGAGGCACCTGAACGGGTTACATCTCAATGCAGTAGCACCATGGAGCGCAGCGCCAAGATGACACGCTGGCTACATCCACTCCTTCCTGCTCTTGTGCTGCAGGAATAGCCAGCAAAACAGCGTGAGTCCTCCAGTGTACAACCAAAGTTTGATTTATGCAGGAAGACTTGTGCATATTTCTACCAGCAAGGATTTGCTGCCAAGCAGAGTAAAATATTTAGGCTGAAATTTGCATTTGTCATCAAATGTTTTAGCTTGTATTTCCATAACCTATTTGTTTTTTGACTACTAATTACATGTATGGTCCTGTAAAAATAGTAACTTTGTTTTTCAGATTTAATATTAAAGTCAAGAAGGTGAAATTAATTAAAGTAGTCAATTAGGTTCGCAATCTGTAAGATAACCTCCTTCTGTTACAGAAGGAGTGTTACATGGCTTTAATCATTCCTTCTGGTCCTTCTGCCAGCAGGCTGTTATTTGTGGATGCAAGGCAAAGCAGACATTGCAAGAACTGATATGCTGCTGCTTCTCAAGGCTTTAACTGCTGAAATCAGGAATACCAGCTGCATTCAGGTTATCCTGCTGTATTATTTGCATTCCTACAGTACACCGTGCGTTCTGCAGAGGGGGATGTATTTTTGGAAGACCTATTTGCGTATTTTTACTGACTACGCCAAAAAGCTAGCAAAAAGGATTAGCATTCCTCCCTAGCAGTTCAGCCGTTCTGGGCAGCTGCCAAAATTACGCATCTCAAAGTCTGCTCAGACTAACCTTCCTCATCCTGCAAGAATTCCAGTAGTTCCATTTCTCCTCTTTGTGCCAGTTAAAGTGCATTTCACAGAACAGTGATTTACAGCCCTAATTCCCTTCTGCCAGACTCAGAGAGGAAAAGGCTGCCTTCTTTACACACACCACAACACCCCAACCCCCAACTTTGCTCTGGGTTCTGTTTCTCTTAATTATAAGAACAATCAGGTCATTTTTAACCCAAAAGTTCACGCCTGGCAGAAGAAAAGAATTCATGCTGGACTGATAATAAGGGTCCTGCTAATCATTAATGTCACATTGTAAACCTCAGAACACATTTTTCCCACCCACCAGCGAGCTGACTTACATCATTTAACAGCTTTTTACATCATTTAACAGCTAAAAATGTCAGCCTTACTTTTTCCTCACACTTAAACCTCAGCAGACCCTTTGCAGTGAAGACAGGAAGAAGGCTGGGAAGGTAGAGGGTGACAACGGGGCAGGAGATTAATTCTCCATTTGAACTTCCAAGCAAGTGAGACAATAGAAAGATTGCTCATTCATATGATCATTCTCTACTTGCTGTAACACACAGGACTTTAAAAGGGACCTTGGCAGCTGCTGCTACTACACGCTCCAACAAATGCTCCAGTAAGTAGTCAGTCAGCAGGCTGCCGAGAAGATGCTAACTATGGCGCTGACGTCTTTAATACTCAATGAGCTCTATGTTATTCTCCCAGTATTCTATACTAATCAACATCATCTTCCTCCATCACTGTTTTAGAGCAGATGTGGCCTTCCACGAGGCTTAATCCCAGCAGGTTGTGGGTGCCCTCTGTTTCTCAGCAAAAAGCAGCAGTGATGCCGTGTAGGTGTGCAGCCTGGGATGTCCACGGAAGGCTCAAAGCCTGGTGCTCCCTTCACCTGAAGGGAGAGCAGGTCAAGGAGCAAAAAGCTCCACTGGAAAGCCACAGGAGAAGCAGTGACAGGAATAAAGAGGAGAAGCAGAGACATGAACAAGAAGGACTACAATGCCCAAAAGAAAATGGCTGCGCATGCTACAGGCTAAAGACCATCAGTCTTATATATTTGCAGCAGCATATCAAATAGACAGCTGCTCTTGCTTGTCTCACATACACTTATTTCTTGGCTCAGATGCATCAATTGCTATGATTTCCAGCTGCATCCAAAATCTTTTTTCTGACCCTGTAATGTAAACGTCACCATCCAGATCTACTGGACTTCAGAGCCTCTCTGTTTTGTTTTACTCTTGGTTCCTTCTAAAAGAAAAAGAAAAAACAAAAATACGAATTTCAAGTCTAATCAAGCTTTTCTCCATCTTCCCCACCTACAAGGATGTTTTAGTCATAACCATCACCCACCCACCCCCAAAAAAGGGCTAGTCTGCATTCGAGCAGTCACGGGCCTATTCCCCTCTTACCAGATGTGACATATTACATTCCAGCAGCATTCAGTCACTGCAGCTTCGGGCCCCAAACTACTTCTGCAGTCCTGTGATTAAGAGTAAGTGTCTTACATAGCTTAGAGGAGAACAAAGGATGTTTGCTCTCTTTAAAGGGAAAAGCTATGTTACGGGGGTATTAGACAAACAATACACATGAACAGTCAGCTATGGTTAAGGTTGCTTAAAGCTTTATTCCTGTAAATCTGAGTCACACGAAAAAGTCGTGCGTTTCCTCGGAAATTGGGAGGGCAAGCTCTGAGTTCACCAGTACTAACACTTTCTGCTGAAGAGAAGACAGCAGATGAAGACATCAAGAACTGGAATATCCCCTAAAAGCTTCTCTAATGTTTTCCAATCCTAGTGTTCATAGATTTAAACTGAGGAGGCTCTCTTGACATAACCAACTTCAAGACTGCTATCCCACTCCTGAATACCTGCATCAATGAACACAAGCTTTGTCCTTTCTTCTCTCCCAGTATCACCAAATCAAATTTCATAATACACACTGATGAAGAGAATTGCTCATTGGAGTAGATTCACAATGCCTCTTCAGGACTAGGACAGAAAGTTCGGTTTTGAGAAATTTGCCTTTCCAAAAGCAGTTCAGTAATTTTCTTTCAAAAATACAGGATTTTTAGATGCAAGCACAATATAATTTAGACAACACACTTACGAAGTATGACAGGTGCAAACCTACAACTTCAGATATGTTTTTGATCAAGGCAGAAAGGCACGAATAGACTAGCTGATAGTCAATTATGCCTGATGGTATCAACTGCACTATTTCCTTCATTGAAAATATCCTTGCTTAAGGAAGCCTAACAAAACAAAACAAAAAAAAAAAAAAAAACAAAACAAAACAGACCAAGAAAAAACATTTACAGTGGTCTAAGAACCTGCCATTTTCTCAGGTGTAGACTTTGAAGCTTTTAATTCTGCTTTGTTTGTGAGGGAGCACCTTCCCATTAGCTCGCAGGGAGAAAAGCAGCCATGGAAAGGAAGACCAAATTGCTTGAATGCTTAAAGTCCACACCAGGAACAAAAGGGTGTATTTGAACAACGGCCATAAAATGCTCATAAAAATACATGATTCCTGAAGACAAACATATTGATGAATATGCTGATGAAGATAAAACTTATTGGTGACTATGAACGCTGCCCCATCCCTCGAAGTGCCCAAGGCCATGCTGGATGGGGCTTTCATCAGCCTGATGTAGTGTGAGGTG